GAGGGACAGCGCCCAGGCCCAGAGTTCAAGCCCCACGACCAACCAAAAAAAAAAAAGCCTGCAGCACTGTCCCTGACCTGCTTTTTGCTCAAGGCTAGTACTCTACCACTGGAGCCACAGCACCACTTCTGGCTTTTTCTGTTTATGTGGTACTGAGGAATAGAACCCAGGACTTCATGCATGGTAAACAAGTACTCTACCACTAAGCCACATTCCCAGCCTGCCCAAGCACTTTTTAAAAATTCATTTATTTATTTTTTTCTTATTGTAAAAATGCCATATAGAGGGGTTACAATTACATGAGCAAGGTAATGAGCAAGGTAATTTCTTAAGCATTGTTGCCTCCTCCTTTGTTTCCCCTTCCCATCCTTTCCCATCCCCCATATGTCTCTCCCCCTTGCCCAAGCACTTTTAATTGGGCATATTTAAAGTCATATAAAATATACAGAAATGTTTTTTGTGGAAAAACTGCCATAATACTGTACAACTTTGTTTTTGCATGTGTGTGTGTGTGTGCGCGCGCGCGTGCGTACATACATGTACACGTTAGGCTTGGGGCTTGAACTCAGAGCCTGGACGTTTCTCCTAAGCTGCTTTTGCTCAAGTCCAGCACCCTATCACTTGAGCCACTGATGATCTTTCAGATCTTAGCATTCTTAGTAGTTCGGATTACATGTGTAAGCCATAAGTGCCTGGCTATTTTTGTGGGGGTTTTGGTGTGTTTTTTGTTCTTTGGTTAGTTGTAGGACCTGAATTCAGGGCTTGGGCACTGTCCCTGAGCTCATTTTGCTTAAGGCTAGTGCTCTACCACCTTGAGCTACAGAGCCATGTCTGTTTTTTCTAGTGGTTAATTAGATGTGAGTCTCATTGGCTTTCCTGACCCAGTAGGCTTTGAACCTCCATCCTTGGATCTCAGCCTTCTGAGTAGGAAGGATTACAGACGTGAGCCACCAGTGCCTGGCTTTTTAAAACATTAGCACCAATTGTTTGTACAAGGGAATTATATTTTGCTATGTCTGTATATGCATACAACTTCTTCCCCTTATATAAAATGAGAGAAGTCTCCGGAAAGGAGAGAAACTCTTACCTACATATTAAAATGTTTAAGAAATACCCTTTCTACTTAAGGAACTCTTGTTTCAAGTCAAAATAAGAAGTGGAGAGCTCTCATTTTCTATGCCTGGGCAGAGCTTATTTTTTGCAAATGTAGATCTTTAATAAAGTCCTATTGCGGCTGGGAAGGTAGTTCAGCGGTAGAGTGCATGCCTTGCAAGCATGAGGCCCTGGGTTCGATTCCTCAGCACCATATAAACAGAAAAGGCCGGAAGTGACGCTGTGGCTCCAGTGGTAGAGCGCTAGCCTTGAGCTGAAGAGCTGAGCGACAGCGCCCAGGCCCAGAATTCAGGCCCCATGACCAGCAAAAAATAAATAATAATAATAAAGTCCTATTGCTTGAAGGTGCTAGGTTACAAATCAACCTCCAGTCCTTTTTCACTTTTGCTTTTAAAGTTAGCTAGGTGTACAGGGGTAACCCAAGAGTAGGGTCCTCCTTCCAATTCCTCTTCTAAATGTTAGCACTAGGAGCACTGATGGGCTGGGGTAGAGGTGTACATGAAGTGGCCCCACCAAGCCAGCTGTCCTGGCCTCGTCCACCTTCCTACACTGTTAGCATTCAGTTGGTGTAATTTCTGCAGCTTTTGTTGGTAGTAAAGCATAGTCACACTGTCTGACATGCAGATTAGGTTCTTAAAAGGAAGGCAAAAACCACTCATAACTAAAATCACTCTTGAGAAACTCAAACTCCTAAAGAAGGGACAATACGGGGCTGGGAAGGTGGCTCAGTGGTAGAGCCCTTGCCTTGCATGCCTGAGGCCCTGGGTTCGATTCCTCAGCACCACATAAGCAAAAAGAAAAAAAGCCGGAAGTGCACTGTGGCTCAAGTGGTAGAGCACTAGCCTTGAGCTGAAGAGCTGAGGGACAGCACCCAGGCCCAGAGTTCAGGCCCCACGACCGGAACCAAAAAAAAAAAAGAAGGGACAATACTCTGCCATCCATTTTCACTAGGTCAAGCAGTCCCTTTTTTGTCTAGTATTTAAACATACAGCTAGGGTGCTCACCACTGACAGAGGTAGCAAGCTTGTGCTAGAGGGCTTTGTTGTTGTTGTTTTAGCACTCCAGTGATAAGACTGTAGGTTATTCTCACACACTGAAACGTATCCAAGCATTAGGACAAAAGTGAACATGCAGTCCATGCAGTCTTACGTCACTTCCCTTTTACTTGAACTCTCTTGAGGGTACATATTTTTTTTTTCATTTGCTTAGAGAGAGAGAGAGAGAGAGTGTGTGTGTGTGTGTGTGTAACTGAGGATTGACTTCAGGGCCTGCTAAGCAGGTGCCCTACTACTTGAGCCATGACTCTAGCCCAGGGCACACCCTTAAGTCTCATAATTTTGGGTAAATCCTGTGAGTGAATGATGTAACCACTGTAAAGAGATTGGTAATCAACATAGATGTGTGAAACTGGAGCATAAAAGAGTAGAAGCCAAGTGCTAGTGGCTCTTGTCTGTAATCTTAGCTACTCAGAAGACTTGTCTTTAATCAGCAAAAAGCAGGAAGTGGAGCTGTTGCTCAAGTGGTATAGTACCACCCTGGAAAGAAAAAAGCCAAGTGAGCTGAAGCTCTAAGTTCAGGCTCCACTCCTTGTACAGACACAAAAGAAAAAAGAGTATGTAGAACACTTGAGGCAGGAAAGGAGCCTGTACATATAAAAAGGGCCCTACAGAAAACAAAATATCTTGACAGCAAGGTCCTTTTGGTCAAAAGCCTTCAAAACCAAAAGGGTTAACAGCACACAAAGGAGTTGTTTCAGAGTGAAGAAAGTAGTGACCATTTATGAATAAAACTGGTTATAAAACATGTATGAAGGGGCTGAGAAGGTGGCTCAATTGAAGAGTGCTTGCCTTGCATGTATGAGGCCTTGGGTTCAATTCCTCAGCACCACATAAGCAGAAAAAACCAGTAGTGCTGTGGCTTAGTGGTAGAGCACTAGCCTTGAGCTCAAGAGCAGAGGGACAGCGCCCAGGCCCAGAGTTCAGGCCCCTGATGACAAAAAAAAACTGTATGAAATAAATTTGAGGAAAATCTGTGCCAAAAATGTGGGCTGTTAGGTTTTCAATTCCTAGATAAATTATTTACTTGCTATATAAAAATAGTTGGTTTGACATTTATGGACTTAACATTTCTACTTTGGACTATGCATAAATTACCCGGAAGAATTGAAATGTGCCCAGGGTGTGATTTTGCTGATGTGATGTGCAGAAACAAGTCCATTAGCTAGACACTGCCTTGCCAGCTAATCCACCTCCCCATCACAGGACAGTTTTGTCTCTTAATTCATCTTCTTGTGCAATACCTACCATGAGGTGATAAATCCTACTGCACTTTGAAAGAATGGAGACTAAGTCAAGTCAGTAAAAAGAAATAGGCTCAAGATTGACAGGATGAGCCTGGCACTGGTGGCTTACACCTGTCTGTGTAATCCTAGCTGCTCAGGCTGAGATCTGAGGATCACAATTCAAAGCCAGCCTGAGCAGAAAAGTCTGTGAGACTCTTATCTCTAATAATAAACTATTCAGAAAAAGCCAGAAGTGGCGCTGTGGCTCCAGTGATAGAGTGCTGTCCTTGAGCACAGATTGGCTCGGGGATAGCACCCAGACCCTGAATTGAAGCCCTATGGTAGAAAAAGAAAAAAGATTCGTTGGATGTAGCTCATTTATGGAGCACTTGCCTACACGAGTGAGGTCCTGACTTGGTACAACACTACCAAACCAAACCAAAGCAAAAATATCGGGCAGTTTTGTCAGAAAAGTTGTTTTGTTTTGTTTTTTTGCGGTCCTGGGGCTTGAACTCTGGGCCTGGGTGCTGTCCCTGAGTTTATTTTTGCTCCGGGAGAACACACCAGCTTTTTAGTAGTTTATTGGAGATAAAAGTCTCATGGACTTTCCTGCCCAGGCTGGCTTCGAACCACACAATCCTCAGATCCCAGCCTCCTGAGTAGCTAGGATTACAGCCACTGTGCCCGGCTGAAAAGATAGTTTCCTACTTTAAAGAATACAACCTTCATAAAGATTTTTTATTTATTTTATTTTATTTATTTATTTTTGGGTCCGGTCGTGGGGACTGAACTCTGGGCCTGGGCGCTGTCCCTCAGCTCTTCAGCTCAGGGCTAGCGCTCTACTACTTGAGCCACAGAGCCACTTCCAGCTTTTTTCTTTTTGCTTATGTGGTGCTGAGGAATCGAACCCAGGGCCTCATGCATACAAGGCAAGGGCTCTACCACTGAGCCACCTTCCCAGCCCTATTTTATTTTTTTTAAGGAGTTAGCTTGCTTTTTCTTTTTGGCAGTGCTGGGGATTACACCCAGAGGTTTTTCCCTTTATGTTAAGCAAGTGCTCTATTACTCAGCTACAACCCCAATCTAGATGGGAGGAATAAAGAAAATTTGTCTCTTCTTTTGCAAATATTAAGGTCTTCTGTATTTTTTCAGGAAAAAATATGCAAAGAAGTACACTGTTGTTAATTCTAGTAAAGAATTTTAGGATTCCTACGTAAATTTTGGACAACTAAGAAGTTGAAAAGATCTTTTCAATTTTAACAGGATAATCTCTAAATATAGACAAAGAGCTGAAGAGTTCCATAGAAGGTGACTAACTATAAATGTATTCTACATAACTGGAAAGTAATGGCAAGGAAGACTTTAGAGCTGAGCTATCCTGATATTTTTATCCAGTGTGTGGGGTGTTACACATGCATCACAGCTATAATAGAGCTGTCACATGGGACATTTGAAAAACAAGACAGAGACGTCTTAAAGGTTTCTGGGTTTAATTTCTTAGTTAGATGCTATGTTCATTGGTATCTAAAATCAGAATCCAGATATTAAGAAGTGAATTACTTTAACTAATTGTTTTAGAGAGGTAATTTGTTTGAAATTATTTCAGGAAATGGAAGATAAAGTGACTAGTCCAGAGAAAGCTGAAGAAGCAAAATTAAAAGCAAGATATCCTCACCTGGGACAGAAGCCTGGGGGTTCAGATTTTCTAAGGAAACGATTACAGAAAGGGGTAAGTTGCATGTAGATAAATGTTCAGCTATGTGAAGTCAGTGTGCCATAAGAGATGTGAAATAAATGCATATTTCACTCTACTTAATGGTGTGTGTATAAAGCTCATTTTTCAGTGTTTTTACTGGGTTCATTTCATAAATGTGAAGAAAGAATAATAAAAGGAATGTTTTTAATTATAAATTATTCCACATGCAGCATATTACAGATAATGGAACCCATGTACCATTACTTAGATTTAGTCTTTGTAAGGAAGTAAGTGTAGATTAATTCAAGCCTACCCTGTGTTTCATTTATAATGCTTTTCTCCAAAAGCAACTGCTATCCAGAAACTGGAATTTTATCTTGCCACCTGTATTTTTTTTAGCCTTGCCTGTTTTAAAGGTGATTCCTACTCCCGTATAAAGCTTTAAAATATTTATTTGGGTGAAATGATCACTTGTAAAACCACAGTTTTTAGTATCTTCTTTAGGTCATGTGTTTTACAGTCAGCATAACTTTTAATACAATTTACATGTTGTAATTTCAGTAGCCCAAATTAAAAGAAAAAATAAAATAGGGCTCCATTTTCAGCTTAAGCACATGTAAATTAACTATATAGGAGCAAAGAAGTATTTATATATATATTTGTGTGTGTGTATATATATATATATATATGTGGAAGGAAATTATTTGCTGAATGAGGTACCAATCCTGTTTCTTCTTAAATACACTGGAACCTGCTGCTTTCATAGAAAAATATGTCTGAGAATGGAGCATGAGTCACTCCACAGTTACATATGAGCTGTTTTCCAAATCAGAATTCCAGAAGAAAAGAATATTTTAACAAATGATGTTTATGTGTTCAAAAATAGAACACTTTACTTTTACATAAAATAACACAGATTTGAAGTAAAAATCAAAATTAAAAATATCAAAAATACAAAATTCCATGCAGTTAGACATTAGTACCAAAAAATTTTAAATGTACAAGGAAACCATTACAGTACATGAAAACCCTAGTTAAAAGATTTAAACAAAGGAAATGTAATTATTAAAACAAATATCCATATTAGTATTCAGTGAAATGTACAATATGGATAATATATGTATAGTTAAACTAAGAAAATATTTTTTTGGTGAGGTTGGAATTGAATGAAATTAGTATTAGTATGCTCTTTCTTTTGTGTAAACAAAAGTATTTCTCTTTGGAAAATGGTATTAAGATTTTAAAAAAATGCCTGCTTTCTTTGAATGAATAATCTCTTATGAATTAATCCAAAGTAACAATTCAATTAGAGGAAAGAGTGTTTTAAGTTAATATTTTTCCCTGTTTCTTTAACCGTAATTAGAAGCAGTGTAAGTATTCAACAGGAATATTTAATGAGTTGTCATGAATGAATAAAACAGAATATTTAACATCTTTAGTTTCACCGTTTCGGAGGGATGGATTCAAATTTCTAATTGTCTTAAGTCCTCCTCTTGAAGTTTATATTATGAAGTTAATGTTATATAACATAGTAAACTTTTGAAGTTAATGTTATATAACATAGTAAACTTTCACCAAAAAGACCATGTAGACCACTCTCCAGTCCTGTCTAGCATATTTTCCTGAATACGTCGAGTTTGTGAAGTCCACTGAGGATACAGTTGTAAGAAACACAGCTTTGATGCTAAACATTATTACTTAGGTGATTAGTATTGTGTAACAGTAACTAAATACCAATGCAAGCTTCTATATTTGAGAGGAAGCTTTTCTAAGGTTTTTATCTAGAATATGGGTTTTAAGTTTTAGGTATTTTTATTTAGAAACAAAAAATGAGAAATTTTTAGAGGCTGTTAATATCCATTAGACTGTGTTGGATCCCAATATGATAAACATCAGTCTAGTATCACTTGACAATCTTTGTACCATAGTCTCTACTGAATCTCTGTACAGAGTGTTCTGTCATTACTTAGTAACCTATTCTGTTTGTCAAACATTGACAATAAATCTTAACTCATCTCTAAGCACAATAATGGAATTGAATTATTTCCCCTAGGTAGGATAGGCTAATCTACAGCTAAGTGATACCATTATGATGTTTGCTAACAATAAAATTGCTGTCACTAGAAGCTAAATTCATTATATTAAAGAGATTTTTGCACTGTATGTTACATTTCCCACTTGGTACTTTTGACAGGAAGAAATTTGTGAGGCGGGTGTGTCCTCCTCCAGATGCCTCTAAACTCAGAAGCAGCTCTTTAATACACAGTGCATCTGAGTTCTCGCTTTTTTTTTTTGTCGCCCACCTCCCCTCTCATTTTAAACATCATGCAGAAATGGAGCTGCAACAGCCTCAGCAGGGCCTGACCCCAAGTTCATCATTACTGTTCCATAGTTTACCCTTTGGGTATACTTTAGGGTACCATGGAAAGACGAGATGTGGCTCATCAAAGTGTAACCCCTAGAGAGAAACAACTGATGAGGTCTTTTTCCTGGACCACTTGAAAATCTTAGGAGTTTCTAGCTACTGGATTTTACTGCAGGACAAGTTCCTGAAATCTTTTGAGAGAATTTTAATCTCGTTTACTCTTGGTCCAGGCCATCATTATTCTCTTTTACTTCCTTTATGGCTAACTCCAGAATGAGATAACAGTCCCCTCTTTTGAGCACTTAGGGCCTTGTATTGTTTAGATAGTATTAGATAATGGATTCACTTGGTTATTGTCATACGGTTTTATATCTCCTTCAACTCCTACACTGTGCCTCATGGATAACAGTCACTCACTCAGTACAACAGTCAAAAGTCGGAACTCAAGAAAATAAGTGGGTTTTTTTGGTCTGGAAGTCAGTCTTGATTAACTTATTAGGGCTATAATCTTTATCTGTCACCATAATAATCTGTATTTTATTGATAAACAGCTACCTTATTTCTTCCTCCAAATAAAAGGAACCATAGTTGTATTTAACTCTGCACCTTGTTAAAAAAACAGGAAGTGTAATGGGATGGGGGTTAATGTCTAGAGAGTTTAGTTCTTCCATTACCTTAGCATTTATATTTTTAATCTTAATTTTTTGAGCTGCCCTTGTTTGATTACTGATTTAAATTTTTTATTTGTTTTTTTTTTTTGGTCGGTCGTGGGGCTTGAACTCTGGGCTCGGGCGCTGGCTGTCCTGTGCTCCTCAGCTCAAGGCGAGCGCTCTACCACTTGAGCCACAGCGCCATTTCCGGTTTTCTAGTGGTTTATTTGAGATAAGAATCTCAGGGATTTCCTGCCCGGGCTGGCTTTGAACTGTGATTCTCAGAGCTCAACCTCCTGAGTAGCTAGGATTATAGGCGTGAGCCACTGGTGCCCGGCTGTGATTTAAATTTTTATATAATTTTTTATTGTAAAGATACTGTACAGAGGGGTTACAGTTACATGAGTACCTTTCCTACAGAGCATGGTTACCCCCTCCTTTGTTTTTCCCCTACCATCCCTTTCCCCACCTCTCCAACTCCCCCTCCCCAAGTTGTAAAGTTCGTTTTCACATAGTGTCTTGTACATGATTTAAATTTTTGCAGAAATGTAGTACCAACAACTAAACAGGATTGAGGGAGTGAGTGGCACATCCTTAAATGCAAGTTGATGAATTGCATGTTTTTATGTTTTAATCATTTAAGCAAGAATTTTTCCCAGATGGTTGTGTTTAGACATGAAGGCTCCTCCACCCCTACCCCCCATCCAGCACACTTTATTCCCATGTGGTTTGATGTCAGACTTTTGGGGGTTTTATAGTAGAGCCAGCACAGATCCAGTAAGCCTGGAGGTGGTATGCCTGCCTGACATCTCAGGCTTATGCTTGAACTCCGTACAGAGATGTGAGCAGTTTTGTCTTAACTAACCTGTTGAAATTTACTCAGACCAGCTCATTTCCTGCTGTCAATGTAAGGTCACATCTACATCTTAAATCAGTCCGATGGTATATGGAAGTTTTTTTTTTTTTCTTCTCTTTTTTTTTTTTTTTTTAAACCGGTCCTGGGACTTGAACTCAGAGCCTGGGCATTGTCCCTGAGCTTCTTTTGCTCAAGCACTCTTATCACTTGAGCCCCAGCTCTAGTGTTTATGTGGTATTGAGGAATCAAACCCAGGGCTCCATGTGTGCTAGGCAAGCACTCTACCACTAAGGCAATTCCCAACCCCATGAACGCTTTTTTAAACTCTAACCTGTGTTTGTTTATTACTTGCAGCAAAAATATTTTGATTCTGGAGATTACAACATGGCTAAAGCCAAGATGAAGAATAAGCAACTGCCCACTGCAGCTCCCGACAAGACAGAGGTCACTGGGGACCACATTCCCACTCCACAGGACCTTCCTCAGCGGAAACCCTCCCTCGTCGCTAGCAAGCTGGCTGGCTGATTAAAAGAGCTGAACTGCATGAATCTTCTAATTCCCATTATTCCTCCTTAATATGTTACTTATCCACTTCTGTTTCTTTTCATTCACTAAGTCTTTTGAGACTGACAGCTTTGCCGGTAGCGGTAGTGTGTGCTGCGATTGTAAGGGACTGTTCTTTTGTAGAGGTTTTGGTTAGCTTAACAGTGCACTGATGAGAAGGACCTGTTAGAACAACATAAGTAATCTACTTGAAAATAATTGTGTATATTACCTAACTTCTAATGTAGGACTGGTTCCAACAACTAACAAAGCAAGTTGTACCATTTTAATGTTCTGACTTTCTTTCTCCATCTTAATTATAGCTTCATACGCTAACTCCTGTTTAATATGACCTCTGTTGTTTTGATTTCTTTTGTATTTCCTTCTGGATTTTGTAAAATGGAAGTTTAAGACCACAAGTTGGAAGAAAAGTCACATACCCAAACACAAGTTAATGGGGCTCCAAAAGATTGGAATAACTGTGTTTAATGGCCTTCAACCTGTCTCAGCGTTCACAGTAGAATCTCCCTTGGGCAATATTTGTCCATTCCAGTATAACTTGTATGGCTTCAGTGCTTAGCAGCTGTTGGTGAAGTCCCCCCTTTTGTGGCATTACAACCCTTTCATGGTGGAAGATGTGAATGAAGCGTGCATGTGCAATGACTGTGTTGCATTCACTTTTGTGCCATTTTTGTAAATACAAGTTTTGCACAACCTTTCACAAATGTCTGTGTTAATTTCACATATTGGAAAGTAGATAATGTGCCAACCAGAAGCACAAGAGTTCTTTTTAAAACAAAAAACAGCAAACAACAAACTATGTCCTTACAGCTTTTGTATAATAAAAATAGTTTACAATTTGGGGCTTATAGAATACCAAACTGAAATCTTGGCTCGGTCTGCCATAGAATTAAGCTTTTTCATTTGCTTCTAATATCCCTGATTTCAGTGGCCTTGTGCAAATGTGGTATATTGCTTAGGCATATCTTTTGTCCTGTGCAGAATGTATCATTTTGAAAATTACAATTCGTATAATTTATATAAACTTTCTAAATGTAAGCTTGTTACTTCCACACTCAACTTTAGGGACACTAAAGGGCTTGCATATTATGCCACCTCCCCCCACCCCCATCTCCCTGTTTTCTTTACTCTTTGGCTGTTGGCTGTTTGGTTTTATATGAAAACATAAGTGGACACTGTCTTTTATAACAATAATTATGTTTTCTAACTTCTCAGTTAACCACTCTTAATCCCTCATTGCTAATATTTGACAGTTATTTAAATAAAAGGAATTTTGGGGTTCTTTTTTTTTTTTTGCAATGCTGGGTGTCACGCTCAGTACCATCCACCTGCTAGGCAAAGCACTCTATCACTGAGCTATAGCTTCGGTTCTATAGGAACTTTACAGTGAAGTATAGTTGCAAAGATGCACAGGAAACCGTCATGAGAAGCATTCTAAGAGAATTTAGGTGGGCCTGTGACAATTAATTTACATGGTAGATAAAATTCATATTAAATCATTTTGGTAATTGCTTCTGTCAATGTCATTTTAATAAAGTACCAATTTACTTTTATTTGTGGTTTCTCTAGTGAGAACTGTACAAGACTTTGTTGGGACAAATTCTCTCAGCACCCTTCTCCCAGGTTTGGTGCTGTAGCTTAATAAGGGTCCGCAGCCTGGATGATAAGTGTTTTTCTCTTCATTTGGACTTGCACATGCCCACAACCCCCTTCCTCCCAATATGGGATCCAGGAATCTTTCCTAGGTCCTCCATTTTATAACCTGCTTTCCCATGATCCCATACAACAGTAGATAGGTAGATAGTGCATTGAACTAAGCACCTGTGCTCAAAGTCTGGTTGTCCTATTCCAACCATCTCCAAAACAGTACTGTGCTCATTCATAATTCTATGGCTTAGTTATATTTGTAACAAATGAGCAAGTGGATTATTCTGCCATATAGTGTATAACTCACTATAGGATCAATTTAAGAATTAAAAAAAAAAGTAAAATTCCTATTATCTCTAGTCGGGTTTTTTGTTGTAGGGTTTTTTTGTTTTTGTTTCCCATTAATATTGGCATCAGACAATGCATCTGAAAGATAAGAGAAACAGTTGTTTCTGACCCTAAGAGGACTCCCATAGTTTATGATAAGTGACTTGACATATGCTTGAGTTTTAATTTGTAAAATGCAGTACTAAATAATCTACCTCAAAGCTGGCTGAGGGTCTGTGAAAAGAGTTAAGTGCCCCAAATCAAAGACTGTTGGTTGTCTCTAGTAAATTTCCTCATTAAGCCAACCTGCCTTCTATAAAGTCACAGTGTTTAAAAAAAAAAAAAATCTCAGGATTTTCCATTAGGAAAGACCTGTTAAGGATTTTAAAGTGTAATTGCTTAGCCTCCATTATTGGTGCTGGAGATGGGAGTTTCCAATTTTGTATATTTTTTTGTTGTTGTGCTTCAGTGCTGAGTTTACTGACATTCTTAGTTCTTGGAGCATCATTTTGATAAGATGAGCATCATCCATTTCCGTTTAGAGCTGTGGTTTGAGAAATGGTTCATGGTTAGAATCATCATCCTGTTTGCCATAGACTGATGTTAGAGAACACCAAGAAATACTTCATGAAAACTGGCTTAAGTCTGAAATTACTTGTTTCGTGTCCAGTAGTTTCTACTTTTGATAGTATGGATTTAGGGGGGAAAAAAACCCCAATTCTTGGAAAGTTGCAATATAATCATTTTTGGTGAATTGGAAGGAACATGTTTATAGTCTTTGAATTACTTGGTTATCTTGTGCTGCTGACCTAAATATATGTCTTAAGACTATTTCAGGCATTCCTCATTAAGGCCTCTGTGTGTTAATTCAACAGTTCCAATTAGTTGTTTTTACTTGCTGTAACACAAATATACCTCTGAATATTTATTGATATTTTTTACTCAGTCAGACTTGTATTCTTGGAAATAGTCTTTATCAAAACCGAACTGTATTCTCTTCAAATTGTGCTTTAAAACTATTGTCTGGTGATGGTAGTCTATGGAAAGAACTTCTCGGAGTGGTTACCAAAACAGCTTCCAACAACATTCACACAGATTTGCATCCCTCTTCATTTTCCTGCTTTTGTCTCATCCTCTCCCACCTAAATCCCTGTGTATTCCTAGAGACCACTGTTGGCACTCAGTAAATGGCTAATGAAATTATTGGTCCTTAGTAGCCTTTCCAATATGCCAGTTTGGGACGTTACAAAATTTCCAAAACATCTTCCTGATCTGGATATGAACTGACGGGAGCCACTGTCCCAGCTCAAAGTCAGCACACACTGACAGCCTTCCCCGTCTCTTCCCTATGCCCTACTGCACCTTAGAAAATTAGGATCAAGTCTTACAGGTAACACCACTTTTGGATACTTACTAGTTTCAGCCTTCAGAATTATTTTTACAGATTGTTGAATACCATGATGGCCATTTAGTGTATGTTTGTGCTCTGTTATTTGCCAACTGAACAGCAAGAAAACATCTTAATTCCTTTCATATTGCACCCTCAAATCTTCCCGCACCAAGACCATTTTGTTTTGCCACAGGATACTTGGCCTGTATTAAAAAGGCCTGGAAGCCTTTTATTTATTTATTTTTTTGTTAAACATGTATACAAAGTTGGCAGTTGATGCTGAAATTTGTTGATAGCTCTCCACAATTATACATGTGAAATATCCAAAAAAAGAAATAAATTGGTCTACCTAATTTTTATTGATTCAATTTGTAGTTTTGTGTTATTTCTTAATGTGTTTGGGACATTTTCTAAAATTCATCTGTTATATGCAGAAGGGATTTGATGGTTACAGTCTTAGATTTGGTTTTAAGGAATTAATGAAATCTAGCAGCTTGTTTACAAAGGCTTTGTATTACCAAGTTTATACTCTAGTATACTTAGATCCAGTCTCAAAAACTAAAGGCTACTGGGCCCCGGTGGCTCACATCTGTAATCCTAACTACTCAGGAAGCTGAGATCTGAGGATCATGGTTCAAAGCAAACCTGGGCAGGAAAGTCCATGAGTCTCCAACCACAAGAAGACAGGAAGTGGCACTGTGGTTCAAGTAGTAGAGCGCTCGCCTTGAGCGGAGGAGCTGAGGGACAGCACCTAGGCTCAGAGTTCAAGCCCCATGACCCACCTAAAAAAAAAAAGGGTGGGGGGTGCCTGGGAAGGTGGCTCAGTGATAAAGTGCTTGCCTGGCATGCATGAGACCCTCGGTTTGATTCCTTAGAACCACATAAACAGAAAAAGCTGAAAGTGGTGCTGTGGCTTAAGTGGTAGCAGGCTAGTCTTGAGCTGAAGAGCTGAGGGACAGCGCCCAGGCCCAGAGTTCAGCCCCCAGGACCAACCAAAAAAAAAAAAAGATCAGTAGAGCATAGAACATACATAGTTCAGACTCCAATACACTTGGTCATCTCACTGGAACCCCACAACACACATGAGAGTTGTCCTGGTTTTGCTAATTAAAGAAGATAGCTCAATCCAGATATAGTAGCAGATGCCTATGATCCCAGCACTTGGGAGGTGGAGGATGTATTTATAGAAATGTGTACATTTAGGTTTCCTTGCTCTGTAGGTGCAGTTCTAGACCCTAACAACAAAGCACCATTTTTGCTTTTTGTTTTTAATACCATTTTTCAATGAAAAGAATCTAAGCTCACTTGAAACGGTTGGTTCTAGAACTTCAGGAGGAAATGCACACGACAGGCCTGATACATCTCAGTGCTAGGAAAGTAAAGAAGTGATTGTGAAAGCAGCAAGGAAAATGGAATGGTGGAGGTTTGTCAAGGACACAAGAGTCAAGTGAAAGAACTCTGGGTGGTGACAAAAACTTCCCCAATGGAACAAAGAAAGCAGGATTGAGGGCTGGGAAGGTGGCTCAGTGGTAGAGCGCTTGCCTTGCTTGCATGAGGCCCTGGGTTCGATTCCTCAGCACCACATAAGCAAAAA